GGCGTCGCCGTGTCTATGGGGGAAGCTCCGCACTCCACATTCTACACTTTACACTCCACACTCCACAATTTGAACTTTAGATTCCACACTCTACACTTTACACTCCACACTTTACACTTTGCACTTTACACTCCCCACTCCTCACCTGAGACTTTACACTCCACACTCCACACTTTACACTACACTCTACACTCTACACTTTCCACTCCTCACTCCTCACTCTACACTTTACACTCCACACTCTACACTTTACACTCCACACTCCTCACTTTACTGTACACTCCACACTCTACACTTTAGACTTTACACTCCTCACTCCACACTCCACACTTTACACTCCTCACTCCACACTTTACACTCCACACTTCACACTTTCCACTCAACACTCCACACTCCACACTTTACACTCCTCACTCCACACTTTACACTCCACACTATACACTCCACACTCTACACTTTACACTTCACACTTTAGACTCCACACTCCACACTCTACACTTTACACTCTACACTATACACTCTACACTCCACACTTTACACTTTACACTCCACGCTTTCCACTTTACACTCCTCACTCCACACTTTACACTCCACATTTCACACTTTCCACTCAACACTCCACACTCCACACTTGACACTCCTCACTGCACACTTTACACTCCACACTATACACTCCACACTCTACACTTTACACTCCACACTTTAGACTCCACACTCCACACTCTACACTTTCCACTCCACACGCTACACTCTACACTCCACACTCTACACTTTACACTCTACACTTCACACTCTACAATTTACAAACTCCACACTCCACACTCTACACTTTATACTCCACACTCCACACTCTACACTCCACACTTTACACTCCACACTCCACACTCTACACACCACACTCTACACTTTCCACTCCACACGCTACACTCTACACTCCACACTCTACACTTTACACTCTACACTTTACACTCTACACTTCACACTCTACAATTTACAAACTCCACACTCCACACTTTGCACTTTACACTCCTCACTCCACACTCTACACTCCACACTCCACACTCTACACTCCACACTCCACACTTTACACTCCACATTTCACACTTTCCACTCAACACTCCACACTCCACACTTTACACTCCTCACTGCACACTTTACACTCCACACTATACACTCCACACTCTATACTTTACACTCCACACTTCAGACTCCACACTCCACACTCTACACCTTACACTCCACACTATACACTCTACACTCCACACTTTACACTTTACAGTCCACGCTTTCTACTTTACACTCCTCACTCCACACTTTACACTCCACACTTTACACTCCACACTCTACACTTTACACTCCACACTCCACACTCTACACTCCACACTTTACACTCCACACTCCACACTCTACACACCACACTCTACACTTTCCACTCCACACGCTACACTCTACACTCCACACTCTACACTTTACACACTACACTTCACACTCTACAATTTACAAACTCCACACTCCACACTTTGCACTTTACACTCCTCACTCTACACTCTACACTCCACACTCCACACTCCACACTCTACACTCCACACTCTACACTTTCCACTCCACACTGCAGACTGGTATCAAGGGAAACATGCACAAGACTGTTCAAATAAACGATTGCAGAAAGGTATTGTGCGTCACTTCATAACCATGTGTTTTGACATCTGTACCATTAACATACGTGTGAGCATTCGGGTTCGTGGGCTTCATCTTGTTTGAGAAAAGGAAGCATTCAAAAAAGCAGTCAACATTTCAGTGTTGTGATGATTTATTTAAATATATTTAAATGATTTTTGAATGCCTTTTGATGTCCCACTCGTTTAGATCGCAGTCCTTGACCGGCCAGGTAAACAAAGCCGGGAATGCAAAGGCACCTCAGAGCAGATCGACACCATGGAGGCCATGCAGCCATTGTCAGATGCTTTTGCAGCCATTGTCAGATGCTTTTGATGCCATAAATGCACATCAATGCACATCAATGCACTTGTTCCAGGTCTCAATATGTCTCAATATGTCTCAATATGTCTCAATATGTCTCAATATGTCTCAATATGTCTCGATGGTTTCAAGTTTAACTTGTTCAACTATCACTGACCTCCAATAGCTTAATTAAACAGAAAGGGAAAATCGTAGAACTACCAAGATATCAGAACTCTAGCAGCTGTAGCAGTCAAAGAGTTGGTGAAGTCTTGTGGTTCTGACCGAAAGCGGCAAAATTCGAAGAGTTCGCTTTGCAGCACCTCTAAAAATGACTGCGAAACAACCGACTGGGGAGTCTCTACGGTTCAGCCGATTTGATCAGTCGTTGCTTGTGCTGCACTTGGGCTGAATTACTGCAGTCCTCCCCTGCTCCGTAAGACCGGAAAGGAAAAAACTTGTGCAGTTTGGGACGGTTTGGGATAGGGTATGAGGAAATAAAAGGACGATGCGGGAGCTGCGGGAGAGGGAAAATGCTCTCAACATCTCTCAACTGTTTTTTAGAAGCAGTGGTTCATAGTGGTTCCCTCTTACCAAAGCGAGTAGCTACAGCAGCTGTAAGGCAAGGGACTTGTTCTTCCTTTAAAGGTGGAATCTTTGGAACATATTTCGCCTTTATTGCTACGAGATGCTACGAGTATTTGTTCTATGTCCCTTCTGTACCTCTTCATGCTTAGACTTCTCTCGACCTTTGAATGGCTCCATGCTGTTTTTTGTCCTAATGAAAGAGCAAGTCATTTCTTGGCTTTGAAACCGCGCCAGGGGCAAACTGTCCAAGAAAGCGAAGAGAAACCTTTTTTTCCCTATTTAAAGTCTCATAGCCTTCAGATAAAGCAGCCGCCATGTCAGAAATGTGAGCCGCCCAACCATTCCCCGAACCATCTGTCTTCTATATAAAAGTCTGAGAAGAAAGCTATTGATGCTAAGGCTTCCAACTTCGAGTCTGAGCAAACCGTGAACTTGGCAGTGCAGTCATTGAAATAGCCTCGATGTCAAAAACATGCAACATCCAAGAAAAGGGCTCAAATGCCGATGCAAAGGGAACGCAAATAGTGTCATCAACACGAATGCAAAAAGAGCTGCAAGGAAATGCAATGATCAAATTCTGTCACGTCACAGAAGTCACAGAATGTGTTTCTCAACCCCATGGCTTTGCTCAGTTTTTCGTGCACGGAACATCCAAGATCTGCCAAGTCACAGGTTGCTCCAGTGTCTTGAGGCAACACCACCTGCAACGCAGCAAATCTTTACTGAGTCTTGGCATGTCTAAATCTCTTATGATATCAACTTATTTTTTCAGTTTCAAACTTCCAGAACTTCCAGAATCCATGATGGATATCAATTGCAAATTGCAAGTGTTCCTGCAGAAATCATCGATGATTCACTGTAGAATGTTGACGATGGCGAAATTTCCATGCTTCCAAGGGCAAGTGATGGGAATTACACAACGTCCAACATACTAACTCAATAATTAATTAATCTCAATATGTCTTGGGAATTGAGCTCGAATTTCATTTGCAACTTGGATGGAATGTTCATATCTCATGTTCAACACTGCTCCTCAGACAGATCCCCATCTATGGCCATTTGCCCATGCCCCTTTGACATGGGACCTAGCCACAGCACGTATTTCTCGCGCCAAAACCAAAGAAGGATTCACACAACGTGAAGTATTGACAACTACGTCCAGTTGTTCCGTATAGCTCAACAACGTTTGATGTTGGGTGTATGTCAAGTTGGATGAGTTTTCATAGTGATCACATCATCAGAAATATTGAAATACTAATCTTTGAAGTAGTCTCCTTTTGATCATACCACTTAGCGTTTCTCTGACAAAGGACCGGCCCAAATTTTAACTTACCCCCGGCCTCTCTTCCTTCTGGTGTGTAGCGATGAACACATTGTTTTACTCGTTCGCTGTAGACGAAATCCATCTGGCGAAACCGGTCACCCCTGTACTGTCCGTGACCAAATTCCATGGCACATCAAGTTCTGATCAAAGGCCATGGACGGCCATGGATCTTCGAACGGCCTATCTTCTAAAGTAAAGTAGTAAGATCTGTAAAATCTGTAAAATCTAACTAAAGTAAAATGTTGTAAATCTGTAAGCTCTAAAACTGACTCGATCACACACAGTATATGTTCATTGCACTGCCCGCACTGCCCGCACTGCCCGCACTGCCCTGGCCTGGCAAACACAGCGAAAATGGTAACATTCCGTGGGACCGAGGCTCTGCTCGCAGTTGGACCACATGCAAATGTTGCCTGGGAAAACAACAGAACAACATGCAAACATCAAACAAACATCAAAACATCACAACTTCAGCACAACTGCAAAACATCCAACAAAATAAGAACTTGCAAAATAGCACAAAATGAGGCAGTAGGATGCAGAGAAGGTGGAGAGTGGAAAGTAGCAGAGTCGAAAAGAAGGAAAGTCAATGCACAAGTGAGGTGAAAGTGCACAAGCCCGGTCTGTTGCAGGGTGTGCCTGTCTCTCTTGCACCTTGCCACATGGCTGTTTCATTGCTGCTGGCTTCATGCTGCTCCTCGTGACACGAATTGGCAGAGAACTGACACAACTGGAGAATACTGGATACAGCGACCCAAATCGACCCAACACGACACCGCAGTTGATGCTGCAGTCACTGCGGTCAAGAAGAAATTTGGTTTCTTTGGTTTCTTAGGCTTCATGCTTTGAGTTCACAGCTAGCATCAACTAGCATCAACTAGCCATGTCATGCCTGTCATGCATGTCATGCATGTCATGCATGTCATGCACCCTGCGCTCGGAATCTGCAGATTCTTGACGGATTTCATCAAGTGAACAACTTAGTTGTTAGTTGTAAAATTGATACCTTGAAGCTCTCATGCTTGAAAAGTCTTGAAACAAATGCTCCTGGAAAAATATGTTGTCATTGTGTTTCTCTTGGGTCCCCCGGTTCAGCCGGTTAAGCTGGTTCAGCTGGGGACCTGCATTCGCACTGTCTGTCTCTGATTTTTTCTTTGCAGCAAGTTGAGGCCTCGGCACCCAGAAGCACGAGCGAAGTTTCATCAGCTCCGAGTCATGTTATGGTTACGTCGGTTACGTTTGGAATGCCCTCTTGCAACATCTTGCAACTGTCTGGGTTTCTTGCCCTCTTCATAGCCAGCCACAACCTGTGCAGATGTAAAGCTCACGCAGCCAAGAGCAAGCATTCTGGAAAGAACTGTGAATGTTTTCGTTCTTGTGCGTAGGGCTGTGTTTCGGATTCACATCGATTCACATCGTTTGAAACTCACGGACGTCCATGGAATCCATGATATTCCTTATCGAATGCATATCGACATATCGAATGCACATCGAATGCACAGCGAATGCACCTTGTCCAACATGTCCAACGTGTCCAGGTCGTCAGACGCAAAACTGAGGACTGACAAGGCAGAGAAGGCGAGGACCGGCACAGTGGCCATGGCCATGGCAACCATGGTCCTGAAAAAACGAACTCGAAAAAACAAACTCTTTCACGAACTGTTCAGAATTCAGAATGTGTCGACCAAGGTTTGGACCAAGGTGTCCAAAGGTTTCCAAATTATTGAAATGACCAGAGACGAAAGGCAGCAGTTTCAAGATGTTTCAGCTACATTGGAGCCTGCGCTCTCGGATATCTCGGTCACCCCAGAGATACACAAAATATCTGAGACTTTATTGGCAGAAACCCTTGCGCATCCTGAGATTCCTTTGACTCTGGGAAACACACTGGTCCAGATACAACACCAACACACAGCTGGTCCTCTCAAAGCGCTGTTTGCGAATGGAAAAAAAAACGTAGGCCCTGCTGGGCTGCTACTGAGCCAAAAAGCAAACAATGTTGACCGATTGGCCACAGATAGCGAGACATGATCCGGAGAGTCTGGGGCATGGTTGGATTCAAGGCACGAAAACCGAAAGCGAAGACCGAAGGCCGAAGACCGATGAGGAGACAAGAGCAAGAGGACCGCTTCGGAAGCCGAGAGCCGAAAACCGAAAGCCGAGGTCCGAAAGCCAAGCAGACAGTTAGGCAAGCAAGACCCGAAAACCGAAGAACGAAAACCGAAAGCCAAAAAACCGAAAACAATACTTTGACCCGTTCCTAACCCATTTCTGACCCGTTTCTAACCCATTTCCGACCCGTTTCTGACCCATTCTGACCCGTTAGACAGCCCGTGCAAATGTGGTGCTGGAAGTTTGCCATACTTGCCTGCAACATGGGTAAAGTGTAGCCTTTGTAGTCAAACATGTACTGTGTGATCACAGACTCAAGAAACCGATGCTTCCAAAAAAAACCTGTGTGTGATTGTGTGTGTGTGTGTCCCGCTTGGTGCACAGCAACAGAGTTACAACCGAACCTACACCGGAACACTGAAAGCAAAACACCAACAGCCGAACGCCGAAAGGCGACAACCACCGAAAGCCGAACGCGGAAGGGCGAAAACTGAAAGCCGAAAACCGAAAAAAGAAGTTGCCCCGGTTCTGACCCGCTTCTGACCCAGTTCTGACCCGTTTCGGACCCATTTCTGACACGTTTCTGGCCCATGTCTGACCCGTTTCTGACCCGTTTCTGACCTGTTTCTGCCCCGTGTCTGACTTCCCAATCCAGCTGGCACAATCTTCAGATCAAGCCATTCCTTCTACAGCTTGGATTTGAAAGGCACCAACACTAGAATGGTCAAAAAATGTCAAAAATGTTTCAAGGTGAAGTACTCAGAACGTGAGTTGCAATGGTGCCCATTTTCAAGCAACACAACGGTTTTTGGAAGCCTCCCGTCTTAGGAGCGTCCGGGATGTCTATGTAGTCTTCGTCATATTGACGACTTGCAAAAGTGCAGGGTTCCAACAAAAAGGGTGGATCACAAAGAGTCAATTCTAAGATAAGACAAGATAAGACATGTGTCAGGAAAATGTCACTGGCAACCAAAACATTTGAAACATTGGACAAAACAGCTACATATCCGAACAAAACAATTTAAAGGAATGCCCTGGTTGCTTTCAATTTGTTTCCCTGGTTGCTTCTCACGAAAACGCATCACATGTGTCACCCTCGCAGCGAGGGTCTAAGCGAACTAGTTCACTGCCTGTGCGAAGTTCGCAGCGGCCACGACAAAGAAATAGACGAATCACTCTGGAAAGAAAAGAAATTGCAAGCCCTTCGGCATCCTTTCGACCAATGTGGATCAAAAATGATCAAAACTTAAGTAGACTCGGCAAACACCTGAATCTTCTGGGAACTACCCGTTTGTTCTGTGTTTGCTTCAATGTTCATGAATGTTCCAATCCGTTCCGATTCGTTCCGATCAGTCTCAAAGTTCTTCCTCTTTGTGTGTCGTTCGGACCACAGCCCCCGGCTGAGTTTCCAAAGTTCACTGAGAGCTGCGTCGTCCAAAACAACCTCACAGCTATACAGAGCATTACACCGCATGGTACCCGGCAGTGTTAAAAGAGTCTTATGGCAAATCACAAAAAACACAAAATATCACATAGTTACATCAAAACACATCACAACATGTTGCGTCAGAATACAAAGTAACGCTGCATCATGTTACATTGAACGGCCTTTGTTATATCCACTACGTACGTCATGACCAAGATCACATGCATACCTTACAGACATTGATTTACAGACAGGACAACACATTGCATTGCACTGCAATACCGTGCATTGCTGTCCATTCCAGTCCAATGCACTCCACTTACAGTGCACTACATGAAAGATCAAAAGAGTGCATATTTAGAGTGTTTTACTCATGCCAGCTTGCCTGACGTTGCATTGTACACATTCCAGACGCATTCCAACGATACATAGATGATCAACGTGATGATCAACGATATATTTTTTACACAGAAATGATGGATGATAGATATACAGTATGATACATAACATGTTACGATATATTATACTCATATATATATATATATAGTAGTAGTTATATTTTAATATTATATAGATTTAATTTATAAATGATTTATGTATTACATCGTACTATCGTAGTAGATGTTCTTGGGAATCTACCATTTCTGGCCATCTCAGGGACGGACCGGAGGAAGCCACGTCTCAGGAACCCGGCCACAGAACGCCTCGGACTGGGAAGGCAACCGAACAACCGAACCGCCTCCGTGCAGTGATGAAGTGCTGCACGGAGATGCACGGAGGACTTTAGACTCTTTAGACTCTTTAGACTCTTTAGACTCTTTAGACTCTTTAGACTCTTTAGACTCTTTAGACTCTTTAGACTCTTTAGACTCTTTAGACTCTTTAGACTCTTTAGACTCTTTAGACTCTTTAGACTCTTTAGACTCTTTAGACTCTTTAGACTCTTTAGACTCTTTAGACTCTTTAGACTCTTTAGACTCTTTAGACTCTTTAGACTCTTTAGACGAATCATAAATTGAACTGACAGAACTAACGATGTTTAACAATGTCTAACAATGTACAGGACTAGCATAGCTCCATTCTGACAGAATGCTGCTCTGTCGGATTCCGCATTGCCACGGGAAGTTCTTGCTGACATATTTCAATGTCAAATTGGGAGTGCGGAAGCTTTCTTGATCAATCTCCAACCGTTCGGAAAATCAAGGCAAATCAAGGCAAATCAACACTGATGTCAGACAGAATGATCAGAATCCTATCATTTCAATCTAAAAGTGGTTAAATGATATTAAACAACTCAACTTGAGAGAGCCACTCTAGCGCAGCAAAACTTGAAAACAAAATGTGTAAAATGTGTGTGCGCTGTGTGCGTGTCTCAGTGTCTCAGCGTCCCAGTTCTATGCTTGTGGCAGGAGATCTTCCGCATCTTGTAAACGAAGTCTCCTGGACACCGAGAAGCTAGCGAGAAGCTAAAAGCGTTTCGACATGTTTCAACTGCCCACACTGCCCACACTGCAGTATTTCCGGACACTGCAAGGGACAAGGCTACAAAGCTGGGACAGGATGGACGTTAGCCAAGGCCCGAGCAGTGTCATCATACAAACCACCACCACTTTTCTCTAAAGCTTTGGAGCTAGCAACATGGAGCACTCCTTGGCCGCGCAATGTTTCAACAAAATCCCTGAACCATAACATGAGTCGCATCAGATGCAATGGGTACGTTGCACATTTCTTGTCTCAAATCAGTTGCCTTTGTTTTGCCTTTGTTTTGCCTTTGCAACATGTATGTTTCCGTTGCAATTCGTGAATCTTTTGCGTCGCCTTTGTGTTGCTACATTCCCTCATCTCAGCTCATCTCAGCACAGCACCTTTGGCTCCATGCTCAACTGAACGCATTGTCATCTGCAACAAGTCGCAGCCAAAGCAGAAAAAGCTGAAAAAGCACTTTGTCATCACCCAAAATTGCAGAAATTATTCAAAACGCATGTTCAAACAAAGCATGAAATGTAAGTGTTCTATCGTTTCTCCAATGGAGAAAAACACGCACATCGAGGTCACAAACTTGGTTATAGTGAAACTGTTCTTGACCCCCGAGCTGATGCGGTGACGAGCCTGTCGCAGTCTTTCACCAATGAAGCCGAAGACTTTGCCTTCAGCCAGAAATTCCTTGATCTTTTAACATCTTTTAACATCTTTTAACAGTGGCAGGTCAAATGGCCGGAAAAAAAGGAACAAATGAGGAATACGCCACAGAAATGAAAGGATCAAGAGCTTCATGTCACCAACATTCGCACATAGAGCAAGAACTATACACTGCTTTGCCATGCTTTTGCCTATAATTGCCTATAATTGCCTATAATTGCCTATGATTGCCTATAATTGCCTATGATTGCCTGTGTCTGTGCGTGTGTGTTATGCTCGTCATTTCGGTATGTTGTTCTTGGCATGGCGTTGATTCCCCCGGCCTGCGATCCAAACAGGGGGAAAGTACGACAAGGAAGAGGATCGTTCCTCAGGACCATTGTTTTTGAAGCCTGAGGAACGAGGATCATTTCCGAATCATTCCTACGTTTTGGTTTCAGAGATCAACCTCGTGCACATTTGCAACATTTGAACATTCGTGTCTCGTTTCTCCCCGCATATTATGGATGTGTGCGTGTGCTAGGACCGCTAGTCCAAAACACATCCAAACACTTCAGGTTGAAATTTCTGCGGATCTAGATCTGGATCTAGTGGAAGCAGGTCCAAAGTATTCAAACATGTCCAAACGTGGCAGAACGCGGAGAGCCGTGGAGGGCTCCCCGGATTCTCAAGCTGCAATGTGCCGCAACAACGTTCATTTGATGCTTGACTTTCGGGTCAAACTTCTGCAGTCCGTTCTTCTAAATTCGTTCACGATGTCTCATGCGTTTCCATGTTTTTCATGGTGTTTCATTTTTTTCATTCCTGTTGTTTCCATGTTTTTTTCATTTCACCTTGTTTTCTTCGTTCTGCCAAGAGTCTCCAGCCAGCTGCTTGAAGTCTGTCAGCATCGCCTCATCACGTCACTGAGCAAAATCTGTCTGGCAATCTTTTGAAATAAGGACTATGGTCATCTATGGTCATCTATGGTCATCTATGGTCATCTATTGTCTTATTATGTATTGGCTGCAGAATCATTACTGATCCTTGGCGCTGATCTCATCAATCAGCCACATTCCATCCTAGAAGAAACCTGCCCACTTATGGTTGCAAGATCCCTTTCCATTTGCGAAGTCACACATCGTCCTCAGATCATAAACTTCTGATATCTTGATGTTCTGAGCCAGAAGTACGACCGCGAAAAATTGAACTACTAGAAACATCTAGAAGGATTCTTACGGCGCACCGACACCTCATGAATAAAGCAGTAGCATGGCATCTGCTCACTTATCTGTGAGCTATGAAATTGGTTTGAAGTTCAGTGAAGTTTCTTTGTCTGCCAGTTCAATACTGTATTGACGTGTTGAACTCAG